CAAGATCAACTTGTGTAGCGACGTTATCAGCGGGGGCGCATCGGCGGGTCCGCAAATGATAGCATTTTTTCGACTGACGGGAGGAACACTGTCACTGGAGGGTCCAGTTTTGAGAGGATCCGCATTCTCCTTGGATAAGCTTTCTATTGCCTGTCGTATTCGAGCTTCCAAATCGGGAATGGGTGCTAGGAAAGCGACTCCAGAGGAATTGGATGTACTGCGTTTGCCGTGTCGAAGATCAACACTCGCGTCAACGATCATGAATCTACCGTTCACCATTCTTAAATCGAGAGCGTAGGTCTTGGCGTCGCGATTGAATAGGGTTGCAGGAGGATACAAAATCCGCCACCATCCGGCCGCTTTGACAACGACACTGAACCTATCACCTCGCACTCTACCATCCGACACTTTCTCTTTGTCCGGACTCATGGATACATCGACGTCTTCTGCCAACAGCTCTGAGGAATATGATACCTCTGCCTCCTCGATTGCATCCAGAGCTTCAACGACGCCGACTGTTGCGCGTAAGAAGGCGACGAGTTCCAAAACAGATGCAGAGAGCCGATCATCTAGTAGCAACTCTTGAGCGAAACGAATAGAATCTTCATGAGCGTTGCGACGGCCATTTATTTGACCAGAAGGCTGCTGGGAGTTCGACAAGGTTTGACTTTGTGATTGGGTTGGAGGGGGTGCAGGTTGGGATAGAGATTGAGTTGAGGGAAGAGACTGAGGGAGGGAAGGCGGTCGGGGTGTTTCAACGTCCATTCCACTGCTAGTGACTGTTCGACCACCCTCTGGAGTAGGTATGTCACAACGAGAGAAGGATAAGAGATAACTTCCGTCGGAAGAGGTAATTGACATGGCATAATCTTGGTAATATGCAAATTGGACCGTTTGCAAGTCAAATGACAAGATTCGGACGTCCTTCCATCCTTTCAAAGTGGGCATGAGAGACACTAGACGGACTTTATGAGCATTGTCCCTGATAATGAACGAAAGCATACCTTGTCTGGCGATAACAACTGCCTTCGAGACACGGGCCCACTCGTGCAGGAACTCGTCTACGCACTCATCAACTTTTCGGCTCAGGAATTTTACGATACCGCTCCTCATATCATACGAAATATTCTCCGATGGCTGAATGACAGAGCCGTCAGCATCATCGTTCGATACGTGTGCACCGTCCAAAGGCTGAACATGCTTTAACCGTACACTAGTATTGACTAAGCACTCGTCATCCAAAGTCCACCATTCCGTGGGTTCGATTCGTATATTGGGCATGGCAGCCTCGGCAGCTACGGCCCCTGCTAAAATATCGCTCGTTCGAACGCATAGGATAGGAAGGTACGGTATGAGTTTTGACTTTGCCATCTTGGGTGTTTTGAGGTCCGGCCCAATGGTGGATGGATACCCTGATCGATTCAAGGCAGAATGGAATGGAGGCTGAGCGCGAACATGTACGTATGGAATGTTTCGAGCCTTCAGTTGTCTCTCGATAATTATATGAGCTACGCGTGCCCTGCAGTAGGCATGTAGATCTCGTATATTTCTTGTTGAGATGTCGAAAGGGTCGTGAATCTCTTCGGTAGGTTCGCCAAGTGATAAATCGAGGCCGACATCATCGAGAGGACGCTTTCGTTTCCTACCAGCTAGCACACCCATATCTGTGGACTGCTGAGCCGCATTTTCGTCTTCCAAATTCACCTTCTCCACACGAGCCTCAAGCCCATTTTCGAGTGGTAGGTCGATGTAGTCTTCTGGGTCGCCCAGATGTAAGAATCGTTCGGCCTGTACCCATCCAAAATCCGTGATAAAGTATTCACCCGTTCCCATTTGAAATTCGGGATCCTTGACCTCAACAATCTCAATGAGTGCATACTTGAAACTGGACTTTGCGAGAACGACAGCAATGTAATGATGAGGAAATTTGGCTAGCTGTAAATATAGGATGCCGAAGTTCTTGCCGAACTTATTGATAGAGTCTTGAACTAGATGGCGTGTTTTGAACGTTGTTATCCCAAGAAGACTTGCTCTCGTCTCGATGAGTTCCAAGATGGCTTGGTGTCGCGAAAGTGCACAAAGTTCCA